ACTTATACCTTTCTTTCCCTCACTAATAGTGAGCTTCTCTCATACGCCACTGAGTATCGCAGTATGGTAAGTGAATTACGGTATTTAACTTTGACACGACCTGATATTACTTATGCAGTACATTTAGTGTCTCAGTTTATGCAAGCTCCCCGTATTACTGACATGCTTGCAGTTAAGCGCATTTTCATATATTAGCAGGGTATTATTGATCATGGATTATGGCTTCAATCCTCTACTCAGCCTACTTGTATTTTGGTCTACTCGGATGCAGATGGGGCCGACTGCCTGGACAGTTCTCGGCCAACCACTGATTTGTAGTTTTCTTGGGTCCCAACATTGTCTCGTGGAACTCCAAGAAGCAGCCCACTGTCTCCAAGTCTTCTATGAAGACTGACTATCATTCCATTGCCCATTTGCCCATACAGTACAGGATACCTTGCACATCAGAACTGCCTTGTTTAAACTTGGATTCCTTGTCATGGTGCATGTTCAACTTTTTTGTGATGATATCTCTGCTTCCTACTTGACTAGCAAGCTTGTTCAGTATGCTAGGAGCAAGCACGTTCAAACTAACTATCACTTTTTACAAGAACTAGTTGCTCATGAATTAACTCACTTCAGCTGACTAGTATTTTCACTAATAGTCACTTGTAGAAAAATGAGCTATTGCAACGCTTAATATAGATCTTTTTAGGCACAAAAAAAAGTCAAAAGTACTTTTATCGATGCTTTTACAAGCGCTTGCGGACTTGCGGCTTGTGTCGCTAGACCTTCTCACGACACTAATCCTTGTCGTCAGTATAACACTCCAAAAGCGTCGCTAAACGTGAGATTCTTTTCAATAACCTACTATTGTAGGTATTTAGCGCCACAAGAGATCCAACTACGCTTTACAAGCGCCTTCAAAGATGTCATATTGATAAGTTTTTAAATTTGCAATTGCTAATTTTGTAATAAATCATATAAAGCTTAAAATTATTCGAAAATAACAATCTTTATTGCAAATGGCTTTTTATAAATGTATCGTTCATCTCTTCAAGGACAAAGGATACAACTTGATAATTCCAAACATTGTTCCTATAATGTTTAATTCCACTACTAAACTTGTACCGAAATGTCTACTATTGTATATATGTATTACATCCATTTAAATCAACCTCGGATCGCTCTAACTTTAGTACTTCTAAACTTAATCTGCAAAAACAAAACAAACCATAATAATGTGTAATATACATACAGAAAATACATACAGTTCAAGCAAATGGTAAGAATAGAAATTACTAAATATAGGAGAGGGTGCAATATTATGTTTTAAGGTGGATTACTACAAACAAATATGTGATTGGAGCAGAAATCATCACTGCTAACATTATAGAAATATATTTTATCAAGAAAGAACATTCTCATATGGATATCTTACAACAACAACAAACATCAATGCCTTATTCACAAACATCAAAGCCTTATTTTACAACAACAAAAGATTGTTTGTTTGAAGAAGTTAAGGAAAGATGTGATAGTTTGAGATTGAAAATTTATGTTACCCAAGAACAAGAGGATATGAACTTAAACCCCATTTATTTTTTAGCTGGTGAAGATCTAAATGACAAATTCCAAAATATGCCACCTTCAAATTCCACATCCTTCTCCCCTGTTTCCCTACTCACATTTGAAAACACCAATATATGTGAGTATTAAAAATGTCATTACAAACTTACCGACTATACGTTACAAACTAACAATTATGCATACCTTCTGGAAAAGTTGAAAGGAGAAAGCAGACCAGTGGTATCCCTCGCTTCCCATCCAAAGGCCTTCACTGGAAGCTTTGTTTCATTTGAGTTTGTTATCATTTCTATAGTGATCAGAAATCTTCAGAAAGCAAAACAAAAGAGAAAAAATGTACAAGTGTCTGTAGATCGAGAATGGAATAGAATGGGTTACTATAGAATGGAATAGATGGATTAAAATGTGGAACAAGAGCCCAAATGAGGATCTGGCGAACCAAAAGTCCTATACGAGGTATGTTTGAAGCAAAGCACCTTTTTGCTCACTGAAAGAGTAGTAGCTTCTGGTGCAACCTGAAAATTAATTTACCCCGACTGAAAAATGATATGAAAATACTATAAGGATCTACTGCTAAAGAAAGACATGCTTGGTCAGTAAAGCAATGGCAATCTGCCACATACAAACAAACAACAAACAACATCCAAGCCTTAATCCCAAAAGAATTTGGGGTCGGCTAACATGAATCAATCTATGATATCGATGCCAAAAAGAGAAGGCGGACAAGAAAAGGAAAAAAAGTAAGATAAAATGAATAAAATAAAAATACATAAATATAAGATAATAATAACACAAGAATATAACCAAGATAAAAGAAAAATAAATAAAAGAACATAAAAAAGCTAGAAGATATAAATAACCTAAGAATATAAAAAGATAAGGAAGATAAACGATAAAAGAAACAAGAGAGTAAAGGTAGACAAGACATCAATCGTCCACATGGATGTGCGCCCTCCATTTTGCTCTCTCCAAAGCCATACTCTCATCCAACCCAAGAAGACACATATCAGTTCTGATTACTCTAATCCAAGTCTGTTTGGGTCTTCTCCTCCCTCTCTTCTCTGACTCTTCTCCCCATTCCTCAAGTCGTCTAACAGGTGCATCACTCGGTCTTCTATGCACATGCCCAAAACACCGCAAACGAGACTCCTGCATCTTATCTTCTATAGGTGCTACTCCCACCTTTTTTCTGATTACCTCATTCCTCAGGCGGTCTTTTCTGGTATGTCCACACATCCAACGCAACATACGCATCTCTGTCACACTCATCTTTTGAATGTGGCATTGCTTCACCACCCAACACTCTACGTCATACATTAATGCCGGTCTAATTGCTGTAAGATAAAATTTACCTTTCAATTTAGTGTCAATCTAGCTGGCGGCGTTGTAGATTGTTGTGATGCGATTGTTGTGTAGGTGGTTACAGCGAAGAAGAAAGATGGAAGTTTGGGGGAATTGGGGCTGCTGAATTTTCCGATCGGTTGTAGGGTGAGTGCGACGACATATACGAACGGACTGCAGTCATCTGGCTTGGACATCGGCGTAAGGTTCTGGAGATCGATGCGAAGAAGGAAGGGGAAGATGGGGTGCTGAATTACCCGATCGTTTCAAAGATAGGGCTATGACGTAAGAACTTAGAAGTTTTTTTACTAAAGGGGGTTCTGGGCTGTTGGGCTAGCATCAGGAAAGGCTTTTTGAGTTGGGTTTGCATTCAGATGTATATAAATAGTCAAATGGACTCTTTATAAATGAATAAGCTGTTGGCCCAAGATCATGACAATTTAGATGGACTGTTTTTATATCTATATATATATATATATATAATATATATATTAAACATATATAAAATTTTAGTAAATGTAAATTATGAACGTTTGCATTCTGATAACAAGAATATTCTAAAATACATGAAAAAAAATTCGATTTTGGTTATTTTTTGTAATCTACTTTCAAATGGTGACAGGGAAAAAATTTATTTTTGTTTGAATTTTGTTGTCCAATAATTTGTTACAAATACTTTAGTAGCATTTCAGATAAAAATTGGTGAATGCCTAATTAAAAAAGAAAAATTGTTACTAATAGTTTAGTAAAATTTGCTATATAAGTGAATATTGAATTAATCTCTCAAAAATGTAAAAAGTTATGCATATAAAAATAATATCTAAAGTAAACTATATTTAAAAAATCAATGATTGTAATTTTATAAAAATATGGCTCAATTTTTTAATAGATATTTGTGATGACAATTTCACTTTGATTAGCTTAATCTCATATGCTTACAAAAAATTAATTCAATAGATAGTTTAAATAATTTATTATTATTTCAGATAAAAAAGGCGAACCGTTGCTTATAAAAAATAAGCAAGCATTTGTGTCATCTTCCAGTTCGAGATCACCTTTGAGAGAAATCACATATGGTAACTTTTAAGATTTGGGTATCTATATTTTTATTTATCTATGGAATTCAATTTTGTGATTTCATTTTGCTTCGTTTCATATAGAAAATATTCCAACAAGTTTTCAGTGTCAGCATTCATCTCAAGACAATAATGTCAAGCGTTATGTATACCTTTAGCATTTGTGGAATGTAGATCCACTTGAATGCCATCTACATGTAAGAGGCAAATGCCATAAAGGTGATTAATCAAATTTGTTACCTTTTTATACAGTTTTTTATGTGTGAAGTATGTATTTAAAGAATCGTAATTTTAGATGTAGGTGGTACATCTCAACAAATTCCTGAGATACACAATTGTCTCGATACACCATCTGAGAATGAGGATGCAATACAATTGGGTGTACGAACAATGACTTATTCCAATTTACCTGTTCGTGAAGTTGAAGGAAAAAAATGGTCACAATAATGTTCTGATTGGTAAGTTTATCATAGGGTATCAATTTTACATAGTATTTTAATAAATGTACAATGTCAATCTAAAGAATAATAATTTTATATGTAGGTGAGCAATCTCAACATATTCTTGAGATAAATAATTGTCTCCATTAACTGTCCGAGAATGCGGTTTCCATGGATTTAGATGTTTATAGAGTGGATCCGTCCAACTTAAATGATAGTGATGATGACGGAGATGGTGATTCCAATAATGTTCCAATTGGTAATTTTATCATCAAACCTCAATTTTATGATGTTAATATCAATTGTTTGTAGTTTTGATATTATATTCCTTAAATTTAAACATACTTTTTGTGATTGACATTGTTTGCATATTTTTAGGTTATTGGGATTTTGGGGATCCTTCTTTCGTTTGTAGCTTTTGTGGAGCCTTATTTTGGTATGAGGAGAGATTAGCTGCGCATTATAAGGCGACAAATCCAAAATACTCTAGGTGTTGTTTGCAAGGCAAAATTCAACTCCTGCCTATAAAAAAAGCCTCCATTATTTATTGAAAATCTTTTTATGGGTCAAGATGAAAGGAGTAAACATTTTTTGAAATATATTCGTTCATACAATAATATGTTCTCCTTCACATCTTTAGGTGGAAAAATTGATTCCACCTTGCATGACGGAAAATCACCCCCAATATTTAAGCTGCATGGACAAAACTTTCATTTGATTGGGAGTTTGTTACCGTGTGAATCCGTGGTTCCCAAATTCGCACAGTTGTACATATATGATACCGAGAATGAAGTATGTAATAGAATTAATTATGTGCGGTAAGACTATTGTATGTATGTATATAAATTAGTGTGTAAATCATTACTTTATTATTTTTAAATAATATATCTAATGTTTATTATGTTTACTGAGAAAAACAGGGGAATCTCATGATCTACATGAAGAAATTGTTGAAGGATTGAAAACTACTCTTGATGAGCATAATGTGCTGGGGCAATCATTTAGAATGGCCGGAAGGAAAATCCATGAAGAAGGATGTGTTGAGTTTAGGTCTAAGCTTATAGGAAAAAGAGCAAAGGATGGAAGAACCTATAATCTGTCTTCAGTATCAGAGGTTGCAGCTTTGGTTGTAGGCGATTTTGATTTGTCACTGGGAGAGAGAGATATTTTAGTTGAGACTTGCACTGGGAGGTTGCAACGGATTAATGAATTACATCCTTCGTATTTAGCGCTCCAATATCCACTTTTATTTCCATATGGGGAGGATGGATTTAGAGATGACATACCTTTGTGTATTAGAAAATCGGATCAAGCTCGAGGGAGACAAATGATGAGCATCATAGAGTTCCTTGCATATCGGTTGCATGAAAGAAATATAGAGATATCCATTATATTGTGTGCTAAGAAGTTATTTCAACAATTTGTTGTTGATGGTTATACTCTGATTGAATCAAGCAGGTTAAGGTATATTCGCAATAATAAAAAGCAATTAAGATGTGAAATGTTTAAAGGACTGAATGATGCTTTATTGCATGGTGATACAAATCCGGCCACGCAAGGGAAGCGCATTATACTCCCATCTACGTTTATAGGCAGGGCAAGATATATGATTCAAAACTATCAGGACGCAATGGCCATTATGTTATTGTAACTTTCACATGCAATTCAAAATGGCCAGAAATACAGTGATACCTTGATGAATGGAATCTTAAACCAGAGGATCGACCAAATATTATTTGTCGAGTTTTTAAGATGAAGTTGGATGGTTTGATCAATGATTTCCGCGCAACAAGATATTTGGCACTGTAAAAGCAGGTATGTAAAAAATTATTAAAGATTGTAATAATTAAAGTTATTATTATGTTATTATAATTACTAATTTTATTCGTAATAATTCTTATCAACTAATGATAAGTTTTATAATTGCAATTTCATATTGTAGTTATATACACCATTGAGTTTCAAAAGCGTGGATTGCCACATGCCCACATATTGCTGTTTCTTGAGAGAGGTGATGACCTAGCAACAACGGATCACATTAACAAGATCATTTCAGCTTAAATTCCTTGCGAATAGAGCGATCCTGAATATTTTAATGCTGTGAAGGACTTCATGATGCATGGACCATGCGGAAATTTGAGAAAGAAGGCTCCATGCATGGTAGATGGTAGATGCTCGAAACATTTCCCGAAAAGATTCGTGGAGCACACCACTTTGGATGAAGATGGGTATCCTGTGTATAGGAGAAGAGATTATGGGAGAACCATTTCAAAAAATGGAGTAGACTTGGATAACAGATATGTGGTGCCTCATAATAGATATTTATTGCTCAAATATGCAGCGCACATGAATGTGGAGTGGTGCAATCAGTCTAGATCTATCAAATACTTATTCAAATATGTGAATAAAGGAAATGATAGAATAACTGCAACATTCTATCAAAGTGCAAATGGAGAAAATGCTGATAATACTGTGGATGAAGTGAAAATGTATTATGATTGCAGATACATTTCATCATGTGAGGCTGCATGGAGAACTTTGGGATTTGAGATTCAGTACAGAAGTGTTGGTGTGGAGAGATTAAGCTTTCACTTACCTAATGAACAAGTCGTTTATTTTAACGACTTAGAGCCCATAAATGAAGTTCTTGAGAAGCCAAGTGTGAAAGAAAGCATGTTTCTTGCTTGGTTCAAATCAAATGAGATATACCCTGAAGCAAGAAACTTGACTTATGCTGAGATGCCACTTAGATTTGTATGAAAACAATCTACTAGACAGTGGGTGCCGAGGAAGAGAGGATTTGCTATTGGAAGATTATTTTATGTGCCACCAGCTTCCGGTGAGTTATTCTATCTTAGATGTCTTTTGAATATTATTCGTGGACCAACATGTTTTGAAGATATAAAGAAGGTTGATGGTGTCCAGTATGACACATTTCGTGATGCCTGCTACGCTTTAGGTCTACTAAACGATGATAAGGAATATATAGATGCAATTAAAGAAGCATGTTTTTGGGCAACAACACATTGTCTCCGTAAATTGTTTGTTGTTCTATTAATTGCTGATTGTTTGAGTAGACCAGAGGAGGTTTGGGAAAAATGTTGGGTTTTTTTATCCGAAGATATCCTCCACAAACAACGTGTAATGCTTAATCATTCAGGTATATTTATAGATTATTTTCCGCACATTCAAATTTTTATTATAGAAATATATTATTGATTATAATTATTGATTGCAGAACTTACATTATCGGATGAAGAACTGAAGAATTATGCTCTGTGTGAAATTCAAAATATGTTATATAGTTGTGGAAGAAGTTTGGAAGAATTCCATTGCATGCCATGTCCTGATAATAGATTTTTTTCAAATACTTCCAATCGATTAGTGTACGATGAATTGAGATATGACCGAACAAAGTTGGTAGAGGAGCACAAAGAGTTGTTGGGTAACCTAATTGTAGAACAAAAGAGTGTCTACGATAGGATAATGGATGCGGTTGATTCAAATAAGGGTGAAGTCTTTTTTGTGTACGGATATGGTGGCACTGGAAAAACTTTTGTAGGACAACTCTTTCTGCTGCTATACGTTCTAGGAGAGAGATAGTATTGAATGTTGCATCAAGTGGAATCGCGTCGTTATTGCTTCCGAGAGGTCGAACTGCACATTCTCGGTTCAAAATTCCAATTCATCCCAACGAAGACTCTACGTGCAATATAAAACAAGGAAGCGCTCTTGCTGAACTTCTGGTCAAGTGTAAACTTATAATTTGGGATGAAGCTCCAATGGTGCATAAACATTGCTTTGAAGCATTATATCGCACCCTGCGTGATATTTTGCGGTTTAAGAATCCAAGGAGTCTTGAAATACCATTTGGTGGAAAGACAATAGTGTTTGGTGGAGATTTTAGACAAATCCTTCCTGTCATACCTAAGGGAACAAGGCAAGATATTGTGAGTGCATCCATAAATTCTTCTTATTTATGGCAACATACATATGTCATGCGTTTGACAAAAAAATTGAGGCTTCTTCATTTGCCTGTTGATGATCAGACGGAATATTTGGTCAAATTTTCTGAATGGATTGTGTTAGGAATATTTTATGGTGTCCAATCTAATTCAATATCTTTGTATTTGTGTAGTTAAACGTGTAATACGGGCCACAAATGTGTATCAGCCCGTCAGCTTCCTTGTAACCCGTAAGTTAGCCATCTTCTCCTATAAAAGGAGGCTAACTTACGGGAACCCTAACAATAGAGGCTTTGAGAGAACGGAGGCGTAGAGATAGAGAGATTAGGGTTGCCGCTGCTCTCCTTCTCCAGGGAGAGCAGCGGCCAGATTACACGGTATACCAGATTCGGTTCATCTTCTCCATATCTTTCTATCTGCTTCTTCATAACTGTTGTTGTTGTTTGATTGTTTAGTATTTTGGAACAATGTGTGGTATCAGAGCCGAGGCGTGAAAAAGGTTGAATCTGTATGCGATTTTCTGGATCTAACGAAGAACCTCTCTGCTTTTCTTCTCTTTTTCCTTCATTTAGAATTTTGCTCCTGTAATCTTGTTTGTGAATGAAATTTTGTAAAAATTATACCGTTGGAATCGCCTTTCAATACCGATCCAGCAGCATATCTTCCTTTTCGTTTTCTACAATTTTTTCATTTTCAAAGAACTCCACATGAAATTGAGAGTTTATGCTTTTACCTGCCCGCAGAAACGTTTTTGGCTTGAAAAGGTACAGGAGGAATCTCGACCTTCAGGGCTTTTCAGAACAGTTTTCGGATTTTCAAAAATCGAGAGTTTTAAAAAATTGAGAGTTTTGAAACGCGAGTTTTAAAACGCAAGTTTTGAAACGCGAGTTTTGAAACATGGGTTTTGAAACGCGGGTTTTGAAACGCGAGCTTTGAAACGCGACTTTTGAAACGCGAGTTTTGAAACGCGAACTTTGAAACGCGCGTTTGGAAACGCGAGTTTTGAAACGCGAGTTTTGAAACGCGAGTTTGGAAACGCGAGTTTTGAAATGCGAGTTTGGAAACGCGAGTTTGGAAACGCGAGTTTGGAAACGCGAGTTTTGAAACGCGAGTTTTGAAACGCTAGTTTTGAAATTTCGAGTTTTGGAACTTCGAATTTTGGAATTTCGAGTTTTAGGAACTCGTTGTTTAGGATTTCGACTTACTGAAAGATTTCTCGATGTTTTGAATTTTTCAAAGTTTGGAGTTTCTTGAATCACTGATTTCTTCTAAACTTCATATCTTTCTTGTTCAGAACACTTCGAAGCTTTACATTATAGGATATCCAAATGAATCTCTGCTTTTCAAAGGTTTAGAAGTTTTCGATGTTCTGATGTTTTTCAAACAGCAAGTTTTCTTTTTTTTGAGGTTTTCGAAACTCCAAAGTTTTCGATATCCCAAACATTTTGAAATTCTGAAGATTTTGAAATTATGAGGTCTGTTCTGCAGGTGGATTTCGTCATTACTCTTCAAGGTAAACTCGAAATTAAAATCTCGAGATTTGGATTGCGAGTTTTTGCCTTAGAATTCTGTTTAATTTCACCTGCTCTCGAAATTCTACATCGAGAACCTCAACCTCGAAGAATTTCCTCAAAAACTCAAAATTTGAGATTTTCTGCGACACCGCACTGTTTTGGCCATAACTTTTGACTCGGTGATCCGATTTTAGCAAACTTTTTTTTGTTGGAAAGATAAAGAAAATATCTACATTTATTCTTGGGCTATGCCCTAAAACCCTTTATCACGCGCCCTCTCTCGCAGCCCTTGAGGGTCAAAACGTTAGTTTTCTGACACACTTTGTAAATCACCGATGTCAAAAGGCCAATCTGATCAAATTCTTTCAAAGTCAAATAAAAGGTCAAATAGGGTCTAAGCTTCAATGTAAAGGTCCGAAAATCGTAGATAACTCAATCAACCTCGCGTCAACGGTCATCTTACAACAATCAACAATCAACCACTGAAGCCTCCTCTGACTCATCAATATTATGTGATCATCAATATGCTGAAATTCTACATGATGAGCTCAGGGAAACCGTCATGTGTGGTACTTGTTCAGATTGCTCCACACACATGGCGGGTATGACAAGCTGTGAGCAATCAGAACCTTGCACATTCTAAGGGGGAGTTTCAGTTTTCTCCTCCTGGCGCCTTACACCGACAAAGCAAGGAATCTCTCAAAGAATGCAACATTTTAGGGGGAGTGTTCAATGATATCCTCCCCGGCGCCTAACAATGACTAAGCATACCAAGTGCTCCAATTGAGGGGGAGTACAGAGAGAAAATCAAGAAAGTAATGAGAGAACATGTTCCTATGGCTTAGTATACCCAACTAAGCCTACCCAAGTGTTAGTCCCTGTTTCTGTAACAACAATGGATAACGATCTAACAACGAAGATTAAACGTAAAGATGAACACAGAATAAATCAACGTAAAACCTTCTTTAATAAACCGTGAACACGTACAACATAAGAATATGCGCGTAAGGCTGTGAAGAATAAGTACGACGTTTTTCTATTCCTAAACCTCGGCTCCCTTTTTATAGGCGAGGTTTAGGTTAGGCGTACCAGGCTTTTAGCCTGTTTATATGGGCCTAACACTTGGCCTGATTTCTATCTAATTCATGCACTAATTAAATACAAGGATTAAATATAAAGCTAATCTATGACCAACTTGATTCACAATTTAATATCTCCAACAATCTCCCCCTTTGTGATCAAGTGCCATTCTCTTATTGCTTCTGAGACTTGAAGTAGTGCTTCCTCATACCAAGTGCATGTTCATATTGCCTCAGCACATTTCTCTTTTTGAGGCGATCGTCAATGGCCTTTAAAATTGTCTCTACTGTAGAGTGTTCCTTTTGAACATAAGATGATGCCTCTTGAAGATTTTCTTCTAGCTCTGCCTTCATCTTTAGAATTTGTTCTTTGATGATCTTCAGTGTTCCGTCACAGTACTTCTCAATTTCACTGACTACCATCAGACGTTTTTCGTTCTTGTGGTTCAGATAGGTGACTGCTGGCGGTGTGAAGAAGATGTGGTAGGCTGGGAAATCGTCAAGTTCTGGACCATACAGTCTTGGCTTTGTCAGATTTGTCTTTTTCAGATTGCACTCAATAGCCATCTGTAGGTCATGTGAAGAGTGTACTCGGATCTGTCTAAGCATGAATCTCTTGATAGCTGCGAGGCCTTCGCTGTATATTATGCTCTGCCTGACTGTAAGGTATCTGTAGGCCATGAACATTTGGTAGATGTCATCCGGTTTCAGCATGATGAAGTCGTTCTCTTGACAAGTAAATTCGCTCCCATCGGTGCGTTGAAGTCTGTAAGTGTAGAATGTTACTCCATGATAGTCTTCAGCCTTCACTTGTAGAATTTGATGAATCGGGAGAATATTCGACTTCAGATCTTGTTCCATCAGTTCTCTCTGTGTACTGGTTGACCTTTGTAGCAACATGTGCAGATGACCTCCAGCCTGCTTTTCTTTTAAGTGAGTAAGGCCTCTTAGCTTCAGTTCATTCAGTGGCTTGACTCTGTCTGGTCTACGCCAGATATGCTCTCTGATTTCTTCTTGGAAGGGGGCTTTGATGCGAACGTTATCCCAGGGTTTCTCTGTCTTGGGAAGTCTTCTCGTTGATTGTCTTACGACCGATTCAAGAGTCTTCTGGGATTCTTTGTAATTCTCCCCTTCCTTGCGTTCATCGTCCTCGAGCCTTATAATATCTTCAGAGCATCTGTTGATTAGCTCTCGTAGCCACTAGTTTCTTTGCATGTCCTCTTGTTCGGCCTCATTCCGAAGATCATCCCATTCTGTCCATTTTCTCGGCCATTTGTCATATATCACCGCCTCTTCCAGTGCATCATGGATGTCTTTGCCTCGGAAATATATGGAATTCTTTGTTCAGGCGGTGATTGTTCCTGAGTAGCACTACCGGGTTTACTTGGATTGCCCGTTGGCATCAGCTTAGAACTAGGTTCCAACTGATGGCCTGATGGAGAAGATGTACCAGTGGTAACATCATCAGGACTTCCATCCCCTCCTCGGTTGGTATCTCTGGGAGATACGCCTCGGGATGTTATTTCTAGCTCGACCATGCTAGATAAGTTGGCTGTGGATGGTGGCTGTTGGTTTGTTGAGGTTTCAGGTTGGATGGGCTGTGGAGTTTGGCTTGGTAGGGCAGTTTGCTCAAGTGATCGAGGTCGCTTGTTCTCCCCCTCATGAGGATCCGAATCATCGGGGTCCTCATGGGAACGTTTGCGACCACGAAGACTCTCCTTGCAAGTGCTCTTGGTTTCGGGTGAAGAAAGAAGAGCTTCAAGTATGGCTTGCTGATGAAGAGTGAGCTTGTCTTCAGGGGTGTTTAGAAGGTTATTCAGCAAAGCCGATGCTAGAGTGTCGAAGGAAAGTGAGGAGAGATCGATGGAGGGTGTGGCCGGGTGTGGGGAGAATACTGGTTCTGTATCCTGGGTTCCCCGAGAAAGAGAAGGGATGGGAATTTGGTTTATCGATTGGTGGGATAGAGGGGTGGAGGATATGGGTTGTGTATGGGAGATGAACGGTTCAGGAGAAGGTTGGGGTGGTGTTTGTTCAGACCGAACCGCTTGGGTGGTCCTAAATTCTTGTGCTAGAGCGGTCATTGCATCTTGCACCCATGGCTTAATGGTGGAATCTAGGAAGCGATTGAGTAGAACGTTTACGTCTTCAAAGGTAGGGTGACCAGTTACGGGGGTTGTAACTGTTGACACAGCATCAGTGAAGATGGCTGATGTGTGGCCTGCATTTAATGATGTAATCATTATGGGCGTAGCAGGGCTTCCAACCGTCATAGCTTGCGCTCTGGTTGTTGCGTTCAGGGTGAGTGCACCTGTATGTGCAGTGAATAGTGTAGGTGTCCTAGAAAATGAAGAAAATGTGGGAAATGTGACACCTAGACTCGATGTGTGAGAAGAAGGGGTTTTGACCTCGGGAGATAGGTCAATTGTACGCTCAACTGATTCAGAAGGAACCAGCGAGGGGGTCGAGTCCCGTTCTTTTGAAACAATAGCCTGTTGAGAGGCTATCGAGTGGCTGGGAGAGGGTTGTGCTTGCGCAGTTGAGCCAGATGCTGCGACTTCTACCCGGGAACCGAAAAGATCGGCTCCTGTGCTTAGGGATTCGGCTCGGCTTATCTGGATAAAGGTGTCGCAGCCCGCGAAGATATGCTCGTCTGCCTTATCAATCAGGCTCTTTCTGGCTTGGGGCTGGGGCTTTGCCTTGGCAGCCTTGTCATTCTTGACCTTTGCCCTTTTCTCTCGGATGACGACTTCCTCTGAATTGAATGATGCCTTAATTGAATGAGCCGCCTCGTCATAATCATCCTTGGAGCAATTTGTCTCGCTGGGATCGGCTCTCGGTTTAGCCTTTTCTTTGATCATGAAGACTTGAGGTCTGCCAGCGATTATTGGTGCTGCGTCTTCAACAGTGATTCTTTTCTTTTTCGGAGATTCGACTGACAGCTT